CTCCCGCCCCCAGGCCGTGTGTGTCACAGACGTGTCCCCGAAGCTGCGGAGCTGCGAGCGGCTCCCCGACGGCCGCGCCACCTTCCAGTGCCAGGCGGACGTCTTCCTGTCGCTGCGCGCGGCCGACTGTCGCAGCGCCTGAGCCCCGACCCCGCGCCCGGACCTCGCTTGGCCCTCGCCGCCCAGCGCCCAGCGGGAGCACCCCAGCGCCTCCCTCCACCCCCGCTCTGAAAGGCTCCCTGAATAAACGAGAAGCGCAACCGGCCTCTGAGTGAGCGCGGGCAGGGTGGGCAGGGCCCCGCCGGTCCCCAGACCCCAACTCTGCCGCCAGACGCTCCCAGCGCTCCCCACCCCCCGCAGGTCTCTCAGGCCACTAGCCTCTCCCGGAACAGCCTGCACAGACGCACCCCAAGCCCCCGCTGTCTCCCCGCCTTTGTCCACACAGCTCCGGGGTCCCCCAGTGTCCTCCAGGAGCCAGTTCCAGGTTTGCCCTCGTAGCCTCCTCCGACCACCCCACCAGGTGGCCCTCCTGCCCGGGAGAGTCCCACTCTGGGCCTGCCTTGCTTCCGGGCTTTCCTGAGGACAAACTCTTCCTTACTGGAGAGGCAGCTACTCGGGTCACTCCTTTCTTGAGGTCCCCTCAAAACACCTCAAAGTACTAGGCTCAGGGCAGTGAATCCATCTGTTGAAGGAATGAGTGACGAGGCCAGGGCAGGATTGGGGGGGCAGCTGGACATGCAGTTCCAGGGTGAGAAGGGGCTGCTCACAGGCTGGACACCGAGAGGCCGGGGGCTCTGCATTCACCTCTCCCCTGACCCACAGCCAAGCAGGTGGTCCCCACAGCCGTGAGCGCCAAGGCGTGGCTGTGAGGGACCACGACTCCGCAGCAGCGGCCTCTTCTGCTCCACACTCAGGCTTAATTCCCTCCTTTACTTGTCGGAATCTGGGTTCATTCCCGCCCCCGGCCCGCTGAGGCTGACCTTGAGTTCCCTTCAGAGCTGGCTTCCAGGGGGCAGGAAGGCGAAATGAGGCCCAGAGCTTGTCTTGGGGTGTCCCCCGCCCATGGGGTGTGGCTGGCCAGCTGGGCCTCAGGGAGGCCAGGGGACTGGCCCTCCATTCAGAGGCTATCCGGGGGGGGGGGTCCCACAATCCCACTGCACCTGAATGGACGTGTCTCCGGGGGCACTGACTTCCCGGACCCCCAGGATCTGGGCCTCCGCCAACCGTGTCCCAGAGGGCTCTCTGGCTGCCGCAGTCCCCAGCTTAGAGGGGTTGCTCCCGGGTCCTCCCCCATCCGAGTCAATGCAGGACTGGCTGGTCCCTCCTCGCCCCCCTGCTCAGGGGTCCAGGAGTCTGAAGTGTGGGGAAGCCCAACACCACCGCGCCCCTGAAGCTGGGGGCCCAGATGGGGTGGGGGTCTAGGGAGGGCCCCGTGCCTCTCACAACTTATACCCCAACTTGGGTAGGGAGGCAAGGAAAGCTGGTGCCGGCTGCCCAGCCGGGAGGGTGACATGAGCTTTCACGGTCACTTCCCTTCCGTTTCCCGCACGGGGTTCTAAGTTAGGCCTCGTGAGTGGTTACGTCGGAAGGAAGAAAAGGACAGGCCGACCGATCAGAGGAAAAGGATGCCAGCTCTCCCCTTCTATGGGGCCAGGCTACAGGTGCCGGGCCTCACCTGGATCAGTAGCTGAAGGACGGATGCCCTTCTGGGGTAAGGGGCCGAAAAGACACCATCACAGTCCTCACCTTTGAACAAAACCAACCAAACTATTGCCCTCACCCCAACCAAAACGAAGAGGTGACCAGGGTCAGCAGCCTGCAGCTGCTGGGCTGCTCCCAGCGGGCCCTGACTTGGAGACGCTGAGATTCTTTGGACCCAGTCAGGGAGCCTGAGCCAACTCCTTCCTGGATGCATGGTCCCGCGCAGAACCACGAGAACCAGCCTCCCACTGGCCTGTGACAGACTCCGGGGCCAAGCACCCACTGGGCTCTTGCCCCTGGGAGGCAGCCTGAGGAGTCTGGGGTTCCTAAACTGGGGGATGCCTTAATGCCAGGCTGCCTGCTTCCCCCCCGGGCCCCCACCGTGTGGATGGTGCTGGGGAGCAGGGCCAAGAGCCGGACACAGAATACCTCCGACCAGGTTTATTTGGTTGTACACCAGCCAGTCAGATACAAAATCGAGAACAGTCTGTGGGGAGAGCAGCAAGGCTGGCCCGGGAAGTGGGGGGCACGGTGCCCAAGAGCCAGGCCCAGGGCACCAGGGAGCCCACACGGGAGGCGGCATGGTCTGTGCCCTGAGGAGGAAAGGGGGTGCCCCCTTCAGGTCACTGCTCCCCTGAAGCTGGCTTCCAACGAGGCCGGGAAGGCAGAAAGTGCCAGGCGGTAGGGGTGTCCTGGGTCTGCAGGGGCTTGGCGGGGGCGGGGGGGAGCAGAAGCTGGGCCTTCACCAGCACACAGGGTGGCGCCCCTCTGGCTGAAGGTGCCCGCTGCTCATCCCGCCCACTGGGCTGCTCCCCCGTGCTGGTGCGGAGGGGGCAGCATCCTCCGAGAGCAGGCCAGGTAGAGAGGAAGCACTGCAGCTTTGTTAAAAACTGTGGGAACCAATCTCTCAAGGCGTGGGAAGCAGGGCAGGGAGGGGGCTGGCCCGTGGGCACGCTTGTGACCTCCCTCTGCTCAGAAGTCACAGTCGCTCTCCCTCTCACGCTGTACCTCCTGCCGCCTCCTGGCCTCCAGGAAAGCCAGCTCCTTGGCCTCTTTCTTCTGGTTCCGGGCCTCGTACTCTAGCCTGGGGGCCGGGCTGTGGTGAGCTGTGTGCCCAGGCCTGGGTCCTCAGTGGCTGTCTGCGCCCCACCGGGCCCAGCCAAGACCTCTCCCTCACCTGTTCTTGATGATGCGCTGGACGATGAGGTCCGTGGTAAGGTCACTCCCGCTGTCGATCTGACAGAAGATGCCCCTTCTCTTAGGCTCCTGGAGGCCAGAGGGTAGGGAGAGGCGATGAGGGCCCTCCTCTGGACCCCGAGGAGACTGCCCAGCTGCCTGGGCCTGGAGGGTCCTCACCCCAGGAGGACCAGGACACCGGTATGGTTACTCCCGCTGCTTAGCAACCCGCCTCCTCATCCCGGGAGGCCACTTGGCAGTTACCCCCCAGCCAAGCTCCCAGACAGGCACTGTGAGCCCGGGGGGTGGAGGGGGCAGGAGGCTGGGCACATCACACACAACCACCTCGTGTCCAGCAAGGGCCCAGCACGACCCACCTGGTAAGGATCTGAGCCGTCCTTGTCAGGCACGATTTCCGTCTTCCCGTGACATACCAGGTCCACCTGGGGAGGGAACGGGGGTCAGGGAGCCCGGCGCCCTGCACTCAGAGGGCCCTCCCTGGGACCTGGCCCACTAGGGGCCTCACCTTGAAGTGGTCCAGGAGCTCTGCTGTGACCGCATAGGGGGCCCCGATCACCACTTCTGACACATACTATGGGAACAGGGAACACAGGTGGTTAGCTAGGACCCAGCTAGGTCAGAGAGTGGTGGGAGAGGGCGCTCGATGATAAGGAAGCAGGGACTGGGGGGGAGGGGGCAGCATGGTGGGGCTGGCTGGCCCGAAGCTCGAGGCTCCTGGATGCCCCCACCAGCTTGGGCAGGAGACCCCACCCAGCACAGCCGCCTCGGCACATACCCGGCAGGCCAGCACGCTCAGGGTCCGCTCGTGCAGGTTCATGATGGGGTAGTTCTTCCCCTTGTAGTGGTTGACCTCCTAGAGCCAGATGAGCTCAGGTGGGCAGGCAGGCTCGGGCAGGTGGGGGCTGGAGTCTCCCCCACAGCCCCTCACGGGTGCCCGCTAGTGTGGGGAAGCCCCAGTCCCCAGGAAGAGGCCCCGGTGTGCCTCCTCTGTCTCTATCAGCACCCCAAGCCTCACCCCTGTGGGCCACCTGCACCCAGCCTCAACCCCAGGAGCCCCTCAAGGGCCCCCACACCCTATCAGCCGGCCGGGGAGCGAGACCTGGTCAAAGTGCAAGCCGGCGATGACGTATGGCCTCTCTGCCAGGCCGTGCACCTTCTCCAGGAAGTCCACGTGGCCGATGTCTGTGCCCGGGTTAAGAAGCAAGTAACAGGGAAAGGAGCAGCTGCCCGCAGGACCAGGGGCTCCAGCAGGTTCCCTCGAGCTCCGCCCCAGTCTGGGGGCCGTCCCACGACGCAGAGGTGCACACAGGGCCAGGGCGGGGGCCACCCTCCCACTTGGTCCCAGAGGATACGGAACAGGTCGAAGGCGCCGGCCACGTAGATGACCGTCTCCCCTGGCTGAGGTTCCTTCCCAGAAGCAAACTGGATGATCTTCTGAGACGTCTGCAGAAACTGCGATACCCCTGTCCAGGGGTTCCGCCCCCCAGGGCACTGGAAGCCGAGAGCGCTCTGGTCAGTGACCGATGCCTTGCAGGCACGTCCTTGACCTGCTCCCACCCCACAGCCCCTCTCCTGCGGCCGGGGCTGCCTGCATCCGCCTGGCTGGCTGGGAGCAGGAATGGGGGCGACGGCCCAGAACGCCAGACCCCTAGCTGCAGCCTGCCAGCGCCCTCGGTCACGTGTGTGCTCTCAGCAGGCACACGCCTCCGGCAGGACACCGTGCGCTAGCCAGCGGGGCCCCGTCCACACCAGGGCCAGGCTGGAGAAGACCCCGGTGACCAGTGGGATGCGTGGCTCCGCTCTGCGGCCACAGTGGGCACTGTGCAGCCAACAGCACTGGGCCGGACAACGGGCCCAGCAGTGGACACTGCCCTTGTGGGGACCCAGCGCCCTGAGCCACCTTCTGGTCACCTGGGACAGCGTCTCCCTGGCGGGTGTCAGGGGAGGGGGCTACAAAGGGAGAGAGGGCCAGGCCGCCTGGTTAGAGACCACCGGCTCAAAGGCGGTCCTTGCTCCTCCTCCGGGCCAGTACCCAGGCAGTGCCTGGAAGGCAGGGAGCTCGGTGAGCGTCCCAGCCAGCCCCAGGGGCAGCCTGGGGGCATCAGACACTGGCCTGGCTAGTATGGCAACACTCACCTTACCAAAGCTGTCTGCGTATTCCCGGTACTCAGAGGAGATCTCCTGAATGGAAGGATGGGCGACGTTGAGGAGCCTCGCCCCCCAGACATGGTCAACCCCAGGGCCTCAAAACTTGCCATCCTGGAGCCCACAGAGAGACAAGGACAGGGCAGATCGGGTGCTCCCCCCCTCCCAGCAGTGTCCTCAGCCCTGGGACCTCGGGGATCCCGCCCCTGTCCCCCCCCAGACTCACGTGACCGCTGTGATGGGCCTTGGTCACCAGCAACATGCGGCCCACGAGGTCCGTGGTGGACACGCCCTGGGTGCGCTGGCACTCTCTGGGGACAGAGGTGGGGTCAGGGCTCACATCCTGGACATGCTCCAAAGTCCCCACCTCCAGCTCACCCCACCTGAGGGCGGCCCTGCTGTGGCCCAGCCCCCTGCCGTGCTGTGTGCGGACCAGGCAGCTCCGGGCGGCTCTCAGGCCGCGACAGAAAACCAGGACCAGGAGCGCAGGGAAGACCACTACACTTTCATCCACTGAAGGAAACGACAGAGCAGAAGTGTTGCTGAGCCCCAAGTGTGCAGGGCTGGGTGGGCAGGTCCCTGCCGCACCCATGTCCGGCAAGGCCAGGGGAACCAGGCCGCGCTGCTGGGGCAGAAGCCGCCGGCCACCAGGGCTTTCTGAGTTAGGGTAACGAAAATAAACTTGCGGGCGCCTGGGGGGCTCAGATGGTTAAGCGTCGGCCTTCGGCTCAGGTCATGATCCCAGGGTCCTGGGATCGAGCCCTGCGTCGGGCTCCCTGCTCCTTGGGAGCCTGCTTCTCCCTCTGCCTCTCTCTCACGAATAAATAAAAATTAAAAAAAAAAAAAAAGAAAAGAAACCCCCTCCCCGGCCACAGCCCCCGTTCTTACTGCTGGCCAGCCACCCTGTGACTACACGGGACCATACAGGACGGTGCGGGTCTATGACACTCGAAGCCCCACTGGGCAGCATGCCACCCTGTTCCGGTCCTGGCCATTTTCCTCGCAGGCAGAAAGAGCCTGGGGGGAGCTTCGAGCCCCGTTCCTGATAAGGTGGGACCCTCACCGGGACTCACCTGTACCTCCCAGCCTGCTTCACTTCCTCGTAGGTGTCACGGCCATCTACGGTCAGTGTGATGTCATCTAAGGAGCAACACACGTGTGAGCGTAAGGATTCTCAACCCAGACCACGTGGGCCTACAGGACCCTCAACCCTCATCCCAGGCTGGCCCCGGTGTGCACGCACTCTTTCTGGGAAAGGACCCGAGGCCTTCTCAGATCCTCGAAAGGCTCGGTGCTGCTCCCCAAATGCGAGGAGGCCCCAGCACCCCAGCTGCCCTCCGGCCCGCCCAGAGGCCCCGGCACTCTGGGCCCCAGCCCCACCCACTCACTGCCATGGACACAGAAGTCGCAGCTGTACTTGTCCAGTGTCTCCAGCGTGGTAACATAGGGAGCCGCCGGCACCACCTCGTCTACCCACTTGATGGCCTGCACCATCTTGTACCTCTCCTCCTGAGTGAACACCGGGGGCCCCTTGTGCTTGGAGATCTCCTCTAGAGCCAGAGATAGAGCAAGAACAAGACGGGTGACCTCTGCAGGGCTGGACCACAGGCTCGCTGGCCTCGGGAGCCCCCTCCCAGCACCAAGCAGGGTCTGTAACCACATGTGAGCTCACGGCAGGCAGCTGTCTCTTTCCCTGGGCCCTCAGCTTGTCACAAGGGCTGGACACCACCCTGTCTCTATGGGCCAGTACAAGTGCTCAGGATGTGTTTGCTGGATAACTGCGTGGTTCCCTCACCCAACCACAGTTCCAGGTAAAGTCCTTAGACAACCAGGCGCTCCGTCCTCCAGGGCCCTGGGAACCAGGTTGTGCGGGGAGGGGAAGTGGGCAGCAGGGCCAGAAATGTGATCCCTTGGCCGCACTGCTCAACCAACCTGCTGAGCTGCAAGGTGGAAAGCCCTGAGTGGGCTCAACCTGGGGCTGCAGGTGGCATGAAGCTGCTGAGCTGTGCTCTTCGCAAGGATGGCCTTGGGCCTGGCCCAACCCCTTGCGGGGCCCTGTAAGGTCAAAAGCAGCAGCCCCAGCTTACCATCGGTGTGCACACCCACGATGAGGTAGTCGCCCATGGCCCGTGCCTGGCGCAGCTGGTTAGAGTGGCCATAATGCACCATGTCATAGCTGTGGAAAGGACAAAATGGTGAGTCCCTGTGCAGAGGGTGGGACTGAGCAGCTGGGAGTGGGTGTGTGTGTGGGGGTGCGGCCTTGCTCCTCTGAGAAGCTGCCACTGGGAATTGCTCCGGGGTCTGGCTGAGCCTGGGCTTTCAGAGGGGAGGTGGGCACTCAGCTCCCCACACCACTGGTCCCTGGCCAGATTTAACAAGCACGACAGCGGCTGGGCTGTGCCCAGGAACAAGGCCTGCTGGTCCCCAGGGCTGGTGAGCACACAGAACAGCCTCGGCTCCCCATAGGTGCCATGGAGCCCCGTCCTCTGCCCTCAGCCCCTCCTCTCACCAAATGCAAACAATGGGGGGGGCCGGCCCTTTAATCTGTAACCTCACATTCATTTAAACTGGGCTGGACTCTGTACTACCCTGAGGCAAGTGGACAGTCTTCGGGACCAACACGAAACAAAGTCTGACAAGTGGGTGAAGGCAATTACTAGTTTTGGAAATCCTGCTCCCTCCCCCATGGCCTCCAGAGACTCAGCAAGGCTTTGCTCTCTGGGGCCAACAACCACCTCCCTACCAGCTGGTTCTAGAGCTCTTATCCTCAAATCTGGGCCTGAGTAAGGAGTAACTTCTCAGCTCGAGGCCCACTTGCTCTGTGTGTGCTGCAGAGGACCCCAAGTTGGCCCCACACCAGCTCTGTTTCCTTCCAAAGCCTCTCGTCTCCTGAGTAGGTGACAGTGTCCCTGCTTCTCCAGGTGACTCAGGCCACCCGGCGCACAGAGCTCTTCCGCTCCCTGACACCTTTTACTCCCACCACAGCACACCACGTCCCAGCACACAAGCCTGTGGAGTCACACGGTTCTGGCCCTGGGGTGAGAGAAGAGGAGAGTCCACATCCAGGAGCCTGGCTGGCCCCTGAGCTCACTGGACAGGCTGGACTGGGGGTCCACAGTTCGGGCTGCAGGGTGGTGCTGGGTCTGGGATGTGTCCTAGCCACTGTGGCCTTGTGGCCGTGGCTGGCCTGCTGGGGCAGGGACCTGGTCAGACCAGGGCCAAGGTCAGAGTCCACCAACATGAAGCCAGGCTCCTCTACCCAAGGTGACTCAGGCACAGCTGCAAAGGTATGGCAGCCCCCCCCCCACACACACCCTCGCTCTCCTCTGAAGCCATCAGCTGTTCTTTCTCTGATTCCATCAAGTGAAGATGCGAGAAAGCATCACAGTGGACAAGCTGTCAGTAGAGGTCAGTTTCCCTCTTATCTGCTAACAGCTCCAAACTTGAAACAACTCCGGGTCTCGGCCGGCCAGAGGAGAGAATGGATGGGCACTGTGGCCCTCCTGGGAGGGACCCCGGAGCCCGGGGGCTTCACTGGGGGTCGTGGACACAGGCAATTCCTGCCCCGACGCTTGCCCAGACACCCGGGAGAAACCCTCCGACCTCGCGGCAGGCAGGCTGGGGAGCCGGACATGGAGACCGCCGCGAAGATGCTCCAGGAGCACGGCTCCCCAGGTATGAAGTGATCGCGCTCGTCGGGACCGGACACACGCGACTCGCGCCACCACCGGCCAGACTCAGGCGGCCCGGCGGGCGGCTCAGCGGCGGGCCCCGGAGCAGGAGCGCCCGCGTCCCCAGGAGGGCTCCGGGACCGGGAGCCG